GTTGCCGTCACCTAGAGAGGGAAAAAAAACAGATGGATATATAAAGGTTCCGTCAACTTGACCATTATTTTACAAAAGGTGCATTGGCACCCTAAATGAAGAAGATAATGGACAGGATCAAATGCCTGTATAGTCCCACACAAGCATCTTCCACCTTAGTCTAGCACTCTTTGTGTCCTCAAAGGAAGAAGAGTCCTTTAAAAAATAGTAGCAACACTGAGTTGGAGAACCATTTTTCCAGCTTCAGCTAGTATGGCAACTACAACGCTTCCCGAAAAAAAGCTGGATCTCACCGTGGTAATTTCTGTTCTTGTTATCTCCAGGTTAGACTATTGCAGGGTTAAGTCAACCTGGTATCCTCTAGATCAGGCTTCCTCAAACTCCAGTTTTGAGACCACAATTCCCATCATCCCGGACCACTGGTCCAGCTAGCTAGGGCTCATGGGAGCTGTAGGGCTGAGTTTGAGGAAGCCTGCTCTAGACTGTGGTTTGGCTATCCTGGGGTCTGTTGGCTACTGCTGTCCCTTCCTGCAATTCGTCATTTTCAAAAAACTTATAGGGTTAAAAAAATGCTTTCTTGACTGCTTTTGTGGGTCTCCCTGTTGGGTTGCCAAAAGGTTTGTGGCCATCCAAGCCTTCCCCTCACCCCATTTTTCTATCTGTTTTTAAAAAACTGGATGGTACACAACATAAAAATAAAAAATGAGAACACAAAATGCATAATAGAACAAAAGCAAACCAATAATCCCTGTCCCACAAACTCATTAAAAGGCCAGTCAAAACTATAGCGAAAGGATACCAGATCAATTTTGAACATCTCCATTCACAGCTAGCTGCATTTCTAGTTGTAGGCCAGTGTTTGTTTATTTTTCTTCCTTGTAACAGAATTGAATATTGCACCAGAGGAATTATCTGTCTGAACATTCAAAATTAATTCTACCTAGGACTCAACAACACAACTGCAAACAAAACGTTTTAAGAGTGTTGTAAAGTGCATTATACAAATGTGACTCTAGATGGCGATAGCGAGCTATGGCTAATATTCATATATTTTTCAAAACGTTTTTTAAAAAAGGATTTTCACAGTGTTTATTATACGTGTTCTAGGATCCCACCCTAGTGGATCTCACTCCTGTCCTTCTCCTGGTCATAACAACACTTACCTTGAAAAGCAGTCGCTCTACCTCTTTCAGACTTTGCCGAAGTTGTTTGATGTCTGTCTTAAAGCCTTCCACCTCCATGCAACGCCGCTTCTCTCCAAGGCCTCATAGCGCTGGGTCATCAGCTGCAGGCGCTCCCCATCTTTTCTGAGCGTTCCTTTTGAAAGCAAACAGAAGATTACAGATCCGTGAATAACTCTTGCATAAAGAGGATGGAGGAGAACTATCCACAGCATGCCAAAGTGCTTGCTAAGCTTGACAGCAGCAGGGCAAGGCATTACCTTGAAGATCTCTCGTCCTAACATCTCCTTCCTCTCGAATCTTAGCCAGCTGCTCTTCCAGGGAAACGCACTGCTCTCGGAACATGTTTGATAGCCGCTGTTCCTGTGTTAATCGCTCCTGTAGCCTCTGTGATTGAGACACACACACACATATATATATATATACACCTTGGCTTATAAAATGCTATAAAGCAGAGAGAGACCTTATGCAGAAGTGCTTCCTTCCTAAACAGCACTATGAAGGCAACTAGATCACCCTGAATAATTAGTGGCTTCTATTGTGACAAAGAAGGGCATTAGCAGGACCACCCTGTGCTTGATTTAAAGCTAAGCTGGTTTGAGACACTAATAGTACTTTAGCTCACATGCTCTAGTTGCAACACTTTAGAATTCAACAAGTCAACTTTGCACGGGCAGCAAATGAACAATGGGCACCAAACTGAACTATGTTCGGAGTTGTGTGTATGTTGCCTGGACAATGAACACAGATAACTATTTGTGTGTCTGAGGACTATTCTTAACCCCCTTTCCCCCTCCACTGCACACTAAAACAGACCCATTTTTTTCAGTCTTTCAACAACAGCGACAAGTGATATGCTATAAAGGAATGAATGAATTACAGAACTACTAATGATAATAAAGGAAAGAGGCACTCTCAACCTGTCAGGAATTATTATTATTATTATTGCATACCGTATTTTTCGCTCTATAACACGCACCAGACCGTAACACGCACGTAGTTTTTAGAGGAAAACAAGGAAAAAATATTCTAAACGAAACAGTGGATGTATGATTTTTGTGGTTCATGCTGTGGCCACAGACATGTGATCTGACAGTGAGTTTGGAGTAGCCCAATGCAAAAATCCTGAGGATCCCATGTGGATCCATGCTTTGTAACCACGTTTTTGCACCACTACGGCCCCAGGCAACAGTGGGTGCGTGATTTTTTTGGTGCAAGATGTAGCCATGGACATGCTATGTGATCTAATGGTGAATTTGGGGTGACCCAGTGCAAAAATCCTGAGGATCCATGTGGATCGGTGCTTTGTAACCACGTTTTAAGTGGGGAGGGAAGAAAAGCACTCAAGGGACAAGGAGCACGCATGGGGTGTGTGGAGAAGGATGCTGCTAATAATGCAGGAGAGGGGTTTAAGGGGAGAAGAAGCACGTGTGGGGTGGGTGGAGAAGGATGCTGCTAATAATGCAGAAGAGGGGTTTAAGGGGAGAAGGCTCCTCTCCTCTCCCACTTTGCTCCTTTAAAGCAAGCAGGCTCTGCTTTTCTCCCTCCTCCCGCTCATCCCCGGCTTAGCGAGCTGAAAAACTTTGCTGCTATTTAGCGAGCTGAGTGGGGAGGAGAGAGGGACAGAGATCCTGCTTGCTTTAAAGGAGCCAACCAGACAGGAACCACTTACACTCGTGTGAGCGGCTCCTCTCCTCTCCCGCTTTGCTCCTTTAAAGCAAGCAGGCTCTCTGTCCCTCTCTCCTCCCCACTCAGCGGCTCTTCTCCCGCTTTGCTGTTTCAAAGCGAGCCACGGAGGAGGGAAGGAAGGGGAACCATGGATCCTCTGCTCACAACTGCAGCAGATCCCCACCACCACCCGTAGGCATTCCCTCCATAAACATGCACAGACATTTCCCCTTACTTTCTAGGAGGAAAAAAGTGAGTGTTATGGTGCAAAAAATACAGTATTTATTTATACTCTGCCTTTTTCCCTGATGGGAAGGCAGCTTACAGATAAAAATAAGAACCGCTAACAACATAATATTTTTTAAAAATTGATAGAATTAAAACTAGATACATATATAAAAAATATAAAAACATACCAATAATTACAATGAAAACAACAGAGGACCAGCCCTTTCATTAAAAGCAATCAGTTCCCTAAAGCCATTTGGAACAAGAAAGTCTTCACCTGCTGGTGGAAAGACAGCAAGGAGAGAGCCAGTCTAGCTTCTTTAGGGAGGGAGTTCCAAAATATGGGAGCAGCCACCAAGAAGGCCCTTTCCTGCATCCTTACCAAGCATATCTGTGGGGGTGGCATGATCAAGAGAAGGGCCTCCCCTGAAGATCTCAAAACCTGGGCAAGTTTGTATGAGGAAATACGTTGTTTCAGACAGCCTGGACCTAAGTTAGGCAGAGCTTTACAGGTCATAACCAGCACTTTGAACTGTGCCTGGAAACAGACCCAGTCACCAGTGGAACTGCTGTAACAAGGGAGACGCATGTCCCCTATAACCGGCCCCAATCAACAACCTGGATGCAGATCTTATACAAACTTTTACATCACCAAGTGAACAGCCCCACTAGATCAGAACAAAGGCTAATCTAATCCACCTTTCTGTTCTCTTAGTGGCCAACCAGATGCCTCTGGGAAGTTCACAATCAGGCCTTGAGCACAATATCTTCCTGTGGTGAGGAAAAAGCTACTCTTGATACTGGGGAATTAAAAAAGAAGACATGACTGGCAGGGCAGGACTGGCTTTTTTCTGGCCCACGCAGGACCAGTCTGGATAGCTGGCCTTGGTGAAGATTTGACGTTTTCATCCCCAAAAAGTTTTTGATTTGAGTTTCTACTGAAATGAGGCTGCATTTTAATGCTGTATTTTAATCTTGTTTTTAAGTTGTATTTTAATCAATTGTTTTTATACCTGGTGTTAGCTGCCCTGAGCCCGGTCTTGGCTGGGGAGGGTGTGGTATAAATAAAACATAATAATTATAAATTAAATAATAATAGGCTACATCTCAATGTGCCACGGCACCAGGGGATGTTGACATTTCATGGTAATATATGTTTGAACCTTCAGAAAGCACAGTTAGTTTATAGCAGTCCCTGTTACCTTAATCTCTGCACAGTACCGTTTACGGCATTCATGCTCTGCTCGTGAAACGTGCTTGGCACCTCTGTCTTGCATTTTCCTCCTGCCAGGAGAAACTCTGCCAATAGAATACCGGTACGGGCTGCTGTCCCACCGCTCTGGGCTGCTTTCCCACTGTTCGGGGCTGCTGTCCCACTGCTCCGGGCTGCTGTCCCACCGCCCAGGGCTGATGCCTTGCTGGCCACTGTCCTGCCTTCTCCTGATGTCTCCTGAACCTTGGCCACTGTCTCGCCGGCCGCTGTCTTGGCTTCTATTGATGTCCTCCGACACTCGGCCGCCGTCCTGCCTTCTCTTGATGTCCTCCCGACCTCGGCCGCTGTCCCGCCGGATCCTGCTCCACTTGGGTGCTCCTTTTCTTTTGTCCAGCTTCCTCAGCAGCATGTCCTTCTCTGCCATCCAGGATTTCTCATTTGCCCGTGCGTCAAACTTCATCTGGAGAAAATCTCTGGTGCTCTCGTGCAGCAGGTTCTGAACTTTGTGGTAACTGGAGAGAGGAATGGCAATGAACCGGTCACCAGTTTCTTCCCCAGCTCTTCCATTATCCCAGTTACAAATCGGGGTGGGGATCAATGGCTTGACAGTGCAATTCACTTTGTCAACGGGCAGCTGTCCCTGGCTTTGGACCCACATGAAACCACTGTGAGGGACCTCAACATAATGAGGCTGTCTTATATTAGAATATTTGATTCATGCCTTATATTGGAGGCATTTGTTCATCTAGTTCAATACTGTCTATTCTGACTGTCAGCAGCTCATCAGACTTACCATACACAAATTCCTTTAGTTGGAGATCCGGTTATCTAACTTGGGACCTTTTTTGTATGCAAAGGATGTGCCTTACAACTGAGCTGTGAACCCTCCCTCAAATTAAAGCCAGCACCCAGAGTCATGCTTCTCTTCCATACCTGAGTGGCGACCCAAACCCTGGACCATATTAAAAATATGATGCTCTACTGACAAGAGCTATCTGTATGCATGCATATAATGAGTTCAAGTTCATATCTAAGGAGTAGGACAGTGCAAATGTATGACTGGTTTCTACCGCATGTTATGTTTGCCACTTTATACCTGCTACGAGAGACACAAAGTACCCTGTGACTTCACACAGTATCAAATCAACGCCAATAGGAGGTCCATGCACTGTCTTAATACAGTTGACCAGCACTTCTGCCCATCACAGTAAGGTTTGTTTTTATTGGTCCCACAATATGCTATGAAGGCACAAGAAGTGACCACCTTGCTGAAGCTAAGTAGGTCTGGGTCTGGTCAGTACCTAGGTGGGCGACTGCCTAAGAACCACACGTACATCACCATTGGTTCCACGATGAAAAAAGGTGGGATAGAAATGTAAGTAAAATACCATGAATAAAATGATTTGTATTCAGACTGAAAGCAAAGACACATTCTTCTTGCACTTACTTCTGAGTAAGCTCTTTGATCTTCTCCTGGTCCCTCTGATGCTGGACCAGAGACTCTTCTATTCGGATCCGTCTGTCCTCCAGCAATGCTTCAGTCTGTTCCTTGGACAGCTTGGCCTGTTCCTCCAGCTGAGCTTGAAGAGCTTCAACCTAAACAAGTACAGAAAAGCGGGTAGAATTTTCTGTTATGTTTTCCTCTGGCAGAACAGCTAACATTGTTCTATACACAAAGAATAACTGGGAGCCGTAATGTTCAGAAGTGCGATTTCCAGCTTCTTAGAAACCTGTCCAGAGCAGTTAGATGCTGGAGAATAGCAGAAAAATGGCTTCATACCCTCCTTATGAACTTTCTCGTCATTTCTTTCTTTGTCACAATGGAAGACTTGATGCTGAACTAGATGGACCTTAGAAAGAGCTAGCATGGATATTATTTTTTTGTTCCTGTTGTGAGACCATTATGGAAGTCATTTGGTAAAAAAAATGCATTTGCAAAGTAATCCGGGTCAGGTTTCTTGCAATTGCATTTTTAAAAGACCAAAAAAGGAAAAAAGAGTAGCATTTGATGTTGGATTTGGTTTTTGTTCTTGCTTTTTAACAGGCAACTTTAAGCAGCCTTATTCAGCTATAAAAATAACTCTGAATCTCTAGGTTTTGCACAATAAAAAGCTTCATACCTTCATACCTAAACTGTCAATCTTGGAATATAAAAGCAATACTGAAACCAATTGGAAAGCTAAGAGATTGTAAGATAGATTGGGGCAGTCAAGCACTACAATGAAAGAGAAATAAGGCAGCTAAGTACCCAAATCAATGAACTCTGTTTTTAAGTTCCTTTACTAATTCAATGATCATGCTATTCACTGACCATGATTACTGCAATTGTCATATGACAAACCAGTGATCTGGAACCATTTACCCAATTTCCCTCCCTTTTCCTCAAATGCACTTGATTCATCACCATATGAATGAGTTGCTAATAGATCAGCTACACTGGTTTACAAGTGTGGGGGTGGGGGTGTTGTCACAATCAGCCACCCTAAGTAAAGATTTAAATTTTTTGAAGTCCAATGCAAAACAGACAACTCTTCTCTGAATATTCTGGCCTCTCTCTTTTTACTGTTGGCTCTGAGCATTTAAAGCAAAGATCAAAGTTTAATTGAGTGTGATGAAATCATAAGCAAAGAGAAAGAACAGGGTCTCAAATAAATTTACAGCATTGTTTTAAGATGCCTGAGAGTACATACCTGAAAACAAACACCACAGGAATGCCTTACTGACTGACAACAGGAACAAAAACACGAACATGAATGTACTTTTGCTTTAACTCACTGGAAGGTGATGGGGTTAATGTTCTAGAATGGCTTTAAGTATGTTTTAATAATTTGCTTTAAATTGTGCTGTTTTAACAGTCTGATGTTTGCTGCCCTAGGCTCCTACGGGAGGAAGGTTGGGATACAAATTTAAGGAATAAAATTAAGCAATGATATACTTCTTGTTGGCTAGCGTTTAAGATAAGTTAATGGAAGAAAGTTAATGGAAGGAATGTTTCCTCTCCTCTCTTCCCGGTGGTGCTGTTGGGACAGGACCTTGGAGCAAAGCTCTGGGAGGACCACTTCGCAAAAGGAACAGGAAGAGCTTCAAGCCCACCTGAGTTGGCTTACCACTTTTTTTTTGCAGTAAGTACACTAGAGTTGAAGGGACGTGGGTGGCGCTGTGGGTTAAACCACAGAGCCTAGGACTTGCTGATCAGAAGGTTGGCGGTTCGAATCCCTGTGATGGGGTGAGCTCCCATTGCTCAGTCCCTGCTGCTGCCAACCTAGCAGTTCGAAAGCACGTCAAAGTGCAAGTAGATAAATAGGTACCGCTCTGGTGGGAAGGTAAACGGCGTCTCCTTGAGCTGCTCTGGTTCGCCAGAAGCGGCTCAGTCATGCTGGCCACATGACCTGGAAGCTGTACGCCAGCTCCCTCGGCCAATAAAGCGAGATGAGCGCCGCAACCCCAGAGTCGGTCATGGCTGGACCTAATGGTCAGGGGTCCACTAGAGTTGGGGGAGGGTCACAGGGTCAAAGAAAATGTTCAGAGCTGTTCTTCCACTCACCTCCCAAAGGCGTCTCTGTCTCCCTGAGGATGGCCCATCGTACAGGGCAGGGGTAGGCAACCTAAGGCCCGGGGGCCGGATCCGGCCCAACTGCCTTCTCAATCCGGCTCACGGACGGTCCGGGAATCAGCGTGTTTTTTACATGAGTAGAATGTATCCTTTTATTTAAAATGCATCTCTGGGTTATTTGTGGGACCTGCCTGGTGTTTTTACATGAGTAGAATGTGTCATTTTATTTAAAATGCATCTCTGGGTTATTTGTGGGGCATAGGAATTTGCTCATATTTTTTTCCCAAAATATAGTCCAGCCCACCACATGGTCTGAGGGATGGTGGACCAGCCCACGGCTGAAAAAGGTTGCTGACCCCTGGTACAGGGGATTATCACTGACCTAAATACTTGCTCCCCTGATTTCAATGGATGGCAACGTGCATAAAATCATGCCCATCACTGGCAAAGCTGACTTTTCATGGAGAAAGAACTATTTGGTTTTAGAGATCTAAAAGTAACAGAAGTCCACCCGGGCTGCACAAAGCCACTTACCTGTAATAAGAGTGTTTGCTCATCTTTATTGTATCTATCCTCATTTTCTGGTTTTTCTCCCTTTTCTGCTGGTTTTGTGGCACAGTGTTTTATACCTAGAGCAGAAATAAAAGTTGAGTTGGTAAAGAAAAGCTATGTCACTCCTTTATTTAGATGTCCCCCCCCCCACGCCCACAATAGCCTCTCTCTCCAGATGTCTTATTTGATGGAAATAATTTTTAGCTTCTCAGTTACCTGCTTTTGAAGTATGCTTGCCACTTCGATCATGTGAATCCCTGCCCTTGATTAGCTTTTGCGGTATAGTGGCCTGCAAGGACAGAGAGAGTTTATTTTCTGCTCTGCTTTTGAGATAGGCTTCAGTAGCAATACGATGCAAAAAGCCTTAGAGGGAAAGGAATTCTAAAGTAAAATAGGCACATGACTGAATCCCAGAATGCAACATGAACTTGTGGCTTGGTTCTCCCTGCAGCTTTGTTACTCTAGCAGCCCAGTTCCTAGAAGGGCACTTCTACCCATGTTGTATGTACAGGTCTCATCTAGTTCTGCCACCCAACAGCACCAAATGGGTGGTGTGTCACTGCTGGAGTTGGGCTTCAGAATTAGGAGTCAGCTTGCCCCCGATTACCAGGATTGTGTTCTGGGTCCTAAGAGTTGCTCCCTTAGCCCTGCAATGGAGAGGACTGGGTCTGTATGCACCCATCTGTAGTGCTCCATGAAGTCAGAAGCGAAGCACAGAACGGCAGCTGAAACAATTGCAATCTTGTCTTGGGCTTGCCAACTTTGAAGTGAACACTGTCAGAGCTTCCTGAATGCATTCAGATGTACAGAATTCAGAGAGGCAGAGAATTAGGTAGAGGGGGGTGATATCCATCTGGCCACAGAACAGACTTCTGCTTACAGAACGGAAGTTTTCCCTTTCTCTCCTTCTGCTCCACAGATGTGCTCTGGAGTGTTGGGGGACAGAAAGGAGAAGGGTTTTTTTGGTTGGGTGGGGGGTGTTGCTCAGACAAACACAGAACATTGACTAGGGTTGAGGAGGCCTAAGCCACACCTACTTCCTATAATGTTGTGTGCATTTCCTGCTTTTGGAAGACAGGTGGAGCTACAACCCATTGTGCTGTCTTTTCATCTCTTAAGTTTTCACAAAGCAGAAGATTAAGAAATGAATAACAGCATATAAGCAATTTCAAAAAAAGGAAAGACCCCGCAGATCTGTTGAGCTAGATATCTGACAAAGTGGGTTCTGACCAATGGAAACTTTTACAGTATCACAATATATTTATTAGGCTTTGCTCAATGGGTTACTTTGTGAAGGCTATTCCACAGTTACAGATTTTAGAATTTATATCTCACAGAGGCAACATAGAACAGTTTAGAAAGAACCTGAAATAAAAATGTCTTGTAGGTTAACAGAGGTGCTCTTACCTTGTGAGGTGGTTCTTTGCAGAAATAGGTAACTTCGCCACTGTCTGTTCCCAGTAAAGCCAAAAGATGCTGGATCTTCTTTCTATCCTCCAGCTCTCTGAAATCAGTTTAAAGGACAGTGACTTATTTCTGTTCCCAAAGGCACTAGTGGGTGCACCCCTAGGGCCAACTAGTGGAAGCCCAGGAAACATCCAAGAAGTGGGAATAGATAGCTCCCCTGTCTGTCTGCATACACTGGAGAAATTCTCTTTCCTGTAGAATCTGGCTGCTGAACAAGATCTTACGTTAAGACAGTGTGTAGTGAGACTTCCGGTTTGGGATCGCGAGCGGTAAGGAGCGCGGAAAGGCTGCTCAAGCTTATTCCGAGCTTCGCGGGGGCTTGGGGGCAACGCAAAGGCACAGCGACCCCCAAAAACCCCAAGGCGGGCGGCCTTGGGGGACAAGCTACCAAGCGGCGTAGGCGGAGTTCCGAAGTTTTTTCGGGTTTTTTTTTCAAGAGACCTGAAGACGACGGGACTGAGAGACGCGAATGGGAAGCTCTGCAGACCCCGCGCAGCGATGCCTCTAGCTCCTGCCGACAGAAGCGACAAATCTCCAAGACTTTAGGACGAAACCCCAACGTATGAAGAAATGTAAGCATGCAAAAAATCTATTTTAAACATCGTTAATGGGGCTTCGGGAATTAACAGAAATTAAATAAGGAACCCGATATGCCTTTCAGTGCAAAATGGCGCAGAACAGCCAGTCATGAGAGCAAGGAGAGGAACTGAATACTTACTTGCTGTAGAGAGGAGAAAAGTGAAAGCCCTCGGCAAGGTTTTAGGCGAGGCAAAGAAGATACAAAATAGAAGATAATATTCAGACTGTTGTATGCTTTGTATTTTTTTTTTTTTTGGAGGAAAAGACTGAGAAGCTTGAGAAAGGTAAAACGGGACAGAGAGGAAGCAAGAAAGTAACAGCTTAGAAATTGAAAGCAACAACAGTGGAATACAGAGGGAGAAGAGAAACCTACAAGGATAATAGCTTTTTGGCTTTACTCTCTCTATGATGGTATAGTGAGGAATGCAGGTGTGGGGTGTTTTAAAGAACGGTTTGAATAATTACTAAAATAGAACTAAAACACACCTTCATACCAGTGGAAGCGAGCTTTAACCACTCCCCTCTTCTTCCTCTCTGAATTGAGAAGATGGAGAAACAGTGACACGGTTTAAAATTTAGAGGATAATGGGAGATTGAGTTTGTGGATTTAACCAGCTGCCTTTACTCTCTGGCTTTTTGGTTGAAAACTGGAACATACCACGACATTAAAAGCTAAATTTAGATGATCGGAACTGAATGGTTGGAGGAGGTTGGAGTTCTGGGATCACCTCCCCTCCCCTATTATAAGACCTAACTCTATTACTGGATTGGATTGGGCCAGCAAGTGGCTGAAGAACAAAGATTTGGGAAAGCAAATTGTACAGGAAGAACTGCAAACATCGCATCTGTCGAGCAAAAGGTGTGGACATAGCGGGACTTATTAAAAAGTATACTGGGGTGGGGTTTCTTTGTTTTGCCTACTGGCAAGCCATAATAGACTATAATAGATCACATATTAGTGAGGGAGACTACTCTTTGCCCCTCCCACACAATATACCTGAATAATTACACACACCTGAGCTCAATGAAAATTTACCCATGACTATCAACGTTTAAACTTTGACCTACTCTCTGGGAAAGACTTCTAAATTGGACTAAAAACAAACAAATTTAACTATTCTGCTGTTTACTGGTTTTGCTATTAGTTAGGGTTATATGTTATAAGTTTTTTGTCTCCTCATAGTATTGGTTGATCTGCAAGATAGGCTAAAACCCTAATTACACTGAAATCAGACAGAATAAAGCCTAGATTGTGCGCCCCCTAGGGGAGAGGAAAATATAATCACAGTCCTAACTGAATTGGTATAAAAAGATAAAATGTCAAAAAACGGAAAAAAGATAGGAGGAACACCGTCAGAAAGGAAAACATCACGGCAAGAGGAAATTAAAGATCTAGATATCTTATGGCTAAAAATAAAAGAAGAGTTCAATCAAAGGGAGATGCACATGGAAAAAAGCTAGAGGAGATAAATGAATTAATAGACAAAAAAATAGAAGGAGTGGTAGGAGAATTGTCAAACAAAATTAAAGATCTCTCAGCAAGGTCAAAAACCCTGGAAGAAACAAATAAGAGAATGCAGAAAGAAATGAAGGAATATAGAAAAGAGACAGAAAGGATAAAAGATGACATAGGGGATCTGAATAAAAAGCAAGACCAAGTCTTGGACAATTTAGCAATGATTGAAATAAAACAGAAACAGTTAAATTTGAAGTTTAGGGGAGTAGGGGAAGAAATAAATGAAAACATTAAGGAGAAAATGATAATGGGAATTGCGAAATGGCTGGATTTGAAAGAGGAAGAAGTAGCATACTCGGTTGAAAATGTCTTTAGAATAAAAATTAAGACTAAACATTTGAAAATAAAAAAAGTACCAGGGGATTGTTTAGTCATTTTCAACTCGATAGAAATGAAAAATTTGATACTAAAAACAAGTTATCGGAAAAGATTAATGATTGATGAAAAACCAATTATTATCTTTAAAGAAATTCCAACTAGACTTCTTCGCAAAAGGGAAATCTACAGACAGCTGGCAAGTGTTCTAAAAAAGAATAATATACAATATAGATGGGAGTTCCCAGAAGGGATCTCCTTCTATTATAAGGATAAAAGATTTAGAATCGCTGAGATTCAGGAAATGAAGAAATTCTTGCGTAGATATGAAAGGGAGCTAGGAAAAACAGGAGAGAGATATGAAGGCGTGGATGAGTCCAGAAAGAAAAATGATTTAAGGAAAAAGCAAGAGGATAAGGCTAGAGAAGGAGAGGTAGAGGAAGAAGAAGAGGAGCAGATAGTAGAGGAAGAGGAGGAAGAAGAAGGGGAAGGACACGAAGAAAACAAAACCAACTAAATTTAAACTAATAACTGTTGTTAAACTGACATAATGAACTTAAAAGTTTTATCGTGGAATGTGAATGGTCTGAACGAAAAAACCAAAAGAAATAAAATAATAAATGTGTTGAAGAGAAAAGATATAGATTTAATCTGTTTACAGGAGACACATGTAACCAAAAAATATAAACATATTCTAACACAAAACAAGTTGGGGGTCGAATTCACGAATTGTATTAATGAAAAGAAAAAGGGGGTAGTGACGTATGTGAAAGAAAAGTGGGAACCCAAATTGATCTGTAAAGACGAGGAAGGAAGGATCCTGGGAGTACAAATTAATTTTCAGGGAGAAAAATTTAATGTGATAAATGTGTATGCTCCGAACTCAAATAAATTGGATTTTTTTAAAAAATTAGAACAAACATTATTAGAGTTAGAATGCAATAAGACGATATTGCTAGGAGACTTTAACGGAGTAAGGAAACCAGAACTAGACAGACAATCAGAAAGGAAGAAAAAAAAACCAAGGGAAATTACCAAAATCATTTAATAAATTGGAAGAGAGTCTGGATCTAATAGACATCTGGAGACATAAACATGCCCTAGAGAAACAATTTACTTTTTTCTCCGAGTCACATAAGAGCTGGGGCAGAATTGACCAAATTTGGATATCAAGAGAACTTTCAGTGAGAACCATAAAATGTGAAATTCAACCAAGAACACTTTCAGACCATAACTCGATAATTTTGGTAATAAAAGGAAAAACACAAGGTGGATTTAGGTGGAGGTTGAATGAATACCTATTGGAAAATGAAGAAGTGATAGAAAAGCCAAAGCGACATTAAAAGACTACTTTGATCGGAACCTTAACACTGAGACAGGAATAGATATGGTGTGGGACGCCAGCAAGGCGTTGCTAAGAGGGTTCTTTATCCAACAAAATAGCTACAGGAGAAGGATGAGAGAACAAAAGAAAGAAGAAATTCTAATACAGATAGGAGAGTTCGAAATTTTTTTACTAAAAAACCCAAAAGATGAACAAACTACACAAACAATAAAAATGTTACAATCTCAGTATTCAGCATTAACAAATCAAGAAGTAGAATGGCAAATTAAACTAATGAAACAAAAATATTTTGAGTCAGCTAATAAGACGGGTAAATTATTAGCTTGGCAATTACGTAGAAGGCAAAAACAAAATGTGATAAATAAAATAAAGATAAAGGAGCAACTGATAGAAGATCCTAAAGAAATAAAGGAAAACTTCCTTAAGTTCTATGAGAAGTTATATAATAAAGAAAAGGAAAATATAACCCAAATAGAAAAATATCTAGAAAACTATAAGGGAAAGAACATAACAGAGGAGGATAGAACACAACTAAACAACCCTATAAGAATAGAGGAGATACAAAATGCAATAAGGAAAATGAAAATAGGAAAAGCCCCAGGGCCAGATGGGCTGTCGGCTAAATATTATAAAACACTAGAAACCCAACTAACACCAGTCTTAGTGGACATAATGAATAATATTTTAAGAGGAGGAAAGGTTCCAGAAACCTGGAAAGAAGCCCACATTACAATGATCCCTAAGCCAGATACAGATAAATTAGATATTAAAAACTATAGGCCTATATCATTATTAAATAATGATTATAAAATCTTTGCAGAGGTAATGGCAAACAGGCTTAAAAAATGTTTAATAAAGATAATACATAAAGACCAGGCAGGATTTCTTCCAGACAGGTTTCTGAAGGATAATATAAGACATACGATTAACATTATTGAATATTTAGAAAGTAGGTGTGATATACCCGCGGCTCTAATTTTTATAGACGCCGAGAAGGCATTTGACAATGTATCCTGGGAATTCCTGCTGAGGAGTATGGAGAAGGTGGGCATAGAGGGAGAGTTCTTGGATGGAATAAAAGCAATATATTCAAATCAGTCTGCGAAACTGATTATAAACAGTAATTTAACAAATTCCTTTAGGATTGAAAAGGGAACGAGACAGGGGTGCCCCCTGTCACCACTCTTGTTTATTATGGCATTAGAGATAATCCTAAATAAAATCAGAGCAGCACCAAAAATACGAGGGATTAGAATAGGAGCAAAAGAATTTAAATTAAAAGCATACGCCGACGACATAATGCTTTCGTTGGAAAATCCGCATATAAATGTAGGGGCTGCTTTGGAAATGTTGGAGGAATTTGGCAAAGTTTCTGGGTTTAAATTGAACAAGCTAAAGACAAAAATGTTGACTAAAAATATGAAAAAGGAAGAAAATGATAAACTAGAGAGGTTGCATGGAATTAAAGTGACAAAAAAAATTAGATATTTGGGAATCTGGCTGTCTACTAAAAATATAAACCTGATTGAAAATAACTATATTACAACATGGAAAGAAATTAAGAAAGATCTAGAAGTGTGGAACAGAGTGAAATTATCGTGGAGAGGAAGAATGGCAGCGATAAAAATGAACTTACTTCCGAGGATGCTATTTTTATTTCAAAACATCCCTGTAATTAGAGGTATTAAATTATTCAAAGAATGGCAAAGAACCCTCTCCAAATTTATATGGCAGGGCAAAAGACCTAGAATCAGTTACAAAATTCTTACGGATAGAAAGGAAAGAGGGGGCTTTGCAGTACCTAATTTGAAACTCTATTATGAAGCTGCCAGTCTCTGTTGGATTAAAGATTGGATCACACTAGAAAACACTGACTTATTAGATTTGGAAGGGACGGATAACAGGTTTGGCTGGCATTCCTATTTATGGCATAATAAAGGAAAAATACATAAGGGCTTTTCAAACCATATTATTAGGGGACCCCTTTTGGAAGTGTGGGAAAGAAATAAAAAACTCTTGGAATGGAAAACACCATGGTGGTTATCCCCAATGGATATATTAATAATAATAAAAATTAATATGGAGGGAGAAAGGCTGACTTATGAGGATATATTGACAAGCTCAGAAAGTGGATGGAATATGAAAAAATATGAGGACTTAAAAGACAAGTTATCTGGCTGGTTACAATATCATCAAATAAATGCTATATGGACAATGGATAAAAAATTAGGTATGAATGAAAAAAAATCGAAGTTCCAGATAGAGATAATTGAAAGTAAACATAAATTACTATCCAAAATGTATGATATACTACTAGAGTGGGATACGAAAGACGAGGAAATAAAAGGGGTAATGACAAGGTGGGCAATGGATCTGGGCCACAATATTGAGTATGACAAATGGTCAAAACTATGGGTCAGCGGAATGAAATTTACAGCATGTGTAACGCTCAGGGAGAACTTAGAAAAAATGATGTATAGGTGGTACATCACCCCAGCAAAGCTGGGGAAAATGTACAAAACAGGAGATAAGAACTGTTGGAAATGTAGGACAAAGGAGGGCAATTTCTTTCACATGTGGTGGACGTGTGAAGAAATGAAGAAATATTGGGAACTCATATATAATGAGTTAAAAAAAATATTTAAGTATACATTTCCTAAACGTCCGGAAGCATTCTTATTAGGAATTATAGGAGATGAGATCAAGAAAGAGGATAAAGTTTTATTCCAATATGCTACGGCCGCGGCCAGACTGTTAATTGCCCAAAATTGGAAGAGTCAAAATATACCGTCAATAGAAGAGTGGCAAACGAAACTATTTGAATTTGTTAACTTAGCAAAATTGACACAAAAAATTAGAAACCAAAAAAATGCAAAGTTTATTAATGATTGGAACAAATTCATGACCTACATAGAAGAAAACTACAGAAATTTAAGGACTATAGCGGGTTTGATGTAAATCTCATGATGTATAAACTAATTGAAAATGTAAGCTGCAGGAGAACTAAATAATAAAGATTAAGAAGCCTGAAAGCAGGAGGGATGGAGGTCGGTAGGGGGGTGAAAGGAAATTTAGATCATGAAAGACATAGAAAACAAAGGAGAGGACTAATAATTGAAATGGAAATTGTTTATTACTGATATTAGTTTCTCTCTTTTTATCTTTGGAATTTTGTACATGCAATGATCAATTTTAGATGCAAGTATATTTTCTTTTTGTTTGTTTCTCTTTTTTGTGTATGTTTATTTGTTTTCTTTTTTTCTGTTTTATGTATATGAAACTTAATAAAGAGAATTTTAAAAAAAAGACAAAAAAAAGACAGTGTGTAGTGAAAGGCCCCCAGTTTTCCCTATCCCATTTCTTTCTTCTCACTAATGTTGCATCTGTTCCACAAAGAACTGACGGAGCATATAGTAACTCCTTCCTACTCAAAATGAGGACTCAGATTGCCAACTGCTCTGCATATTCTAACACAGCAGTTCAGCAAAAAGGAAAGAAATAGTCTCTGAAGCCCTTCCAGCCATTGGCCCATCTAGTCAAGCACTCTGTTCTCACCATGGTCAACCAGCTGCCTGTGAGAAGCCTGCAAACAGAACCTGAGCACTGTCACCACCTAGTGCCACATTTGTATATTGCACTTTACAACACACTTAAAACCTTTTATTTGCAGCTGTATAGCTGAGTCCAGGGTGAAAAACTCTTTTCTATCCACTTTCTCCATGCTATGTGTAACTTTATAAACTTCTAACATGTCACCTCCTATTTGTCTTTTCTCTAAACTAAAAAGTGCCAAATGCTGCAACATTTCCTTGGGTGGGAGTTGCTCCACCTCTTTATCATTTTGCTTGCCCTTTTCCGAGACTCTAGGACAACAGCAGAGGGGATGGGACAGCAGCACATCTACTTTAGGATAGGCAGCATGCACCACATTCTTCCCTGTAGATCTCTTCATGCGGGAGAGAACAGCAAGTATCTCAATCCCTGTAACTTTAAAAAGAAATGGCACAAACATGCCGCTCCCCCAAAAATAAGGGAAAGGATTTGCTGAATTAATAAATTAGAAATTGGAATACAGAAAGGGGAGGTATGAGGAAGTCAGGGAAGTGAGTTATAAGAAAATAAGGGTTGAAATTATACCTGTTTTTATTTTTGTTTGTTTGTATTATTGTATTGTTTTGTTTTGTCTTTATAAAAATTTTGAAACTTTAATAAAAAATTTAAAAAAAAACAAAAAACATGCCGCTCCCCTCTGTTCTGCAGGCTGTTTTTTCACTCTTCCCACCTAGGCAACAAACCTGATTTTCAGCCTGTCGTTCTCAGCATAAAGGCGCAAGACGTGCTCCCTCTCCTGAAAAAGGAAAACCTGCATGTCACTCAGAGCCTTCTGCAGCTCTGCAATTTCTTCTTCTCGCTGACGCATTTCCCATTGTAATTTGTGCTGCAGGGGGGAAAGGGAAGCATATTGTTATTGATCACCTAGCCGTTACAGCAAAGGTAGGGCAGAGACAGGGTTTTTCATTGCTCACCAAATACTGTACTGATGAAATAACCTTTGCTCCAAATCCCCGGATTACTACTCGCAACTGTTTCATATACCTATTAAATAGTACGAAAGACCAGAACAGAACACTGTGGAACCCAGCAGCACAATTGCTATGAGGCCACATAAGTTTCCCAGTGCTAGTCCTGGTAGTGACCCTGGAAGTAGGAGTGGGACCACTGCAACAAGGCACTATTGTGCCCCACTATTGTGTTACTCCAGGATGATATGATGGTCCACTATTGAAAACTAACATTCTGGGATTCTCCAACACCAGCTCCGCCAGTTCAGTCACAGAAGCTGCTGGGCAGCGGCACTGGCAGGACACCAGCAAAATCCCCATTTTGCCTTTCTGACCCTACATTAGGCACAACCCCTTACATCCCATCTATATTTGATTGATATTAGTTTTCAATAATATAAGCTACTGGTTTAATAGTTGCCGTATTAGAATTCATTTTATTTAGGATGAGGCTAAGGGTTTGACGGGGACGCGGGTGGCGCTGTGGGTAAAAGCCTCAGCGCCTAGGGCTTGCCGATCGAAAGGTCGGCGGTTCGAATCCCTGCGGCGGGGTGTGCTCCCGTTGCTCGGTCCCAGCGCCTGCCAACCTAGCAGTTCCAAAGCACCTCCGGGTGCAAGTAGATAAATAGGAACCGCTTACTGGCGGGAAGGTAAACGGCGTTTCCGTGTGCTGCGCTGGCTCGCCAGATGCGGCTTTGTCACGCTGGCCACGTGACCCGGAAGTGTCTCTTAAGTGAGATGGGCGCACAACCCTAGAGTCTGTCAAGACTGGCCCGTACGGGCAGGGGTACCTTTACCTTTTAAGGGTTTGACACTCAAACCCAGGTTTATAGTTTTAAAACTGAGCAGCAAAAAGACTTCACTGCTCAATACTTAAGTTAAAGGGTCCTTCCCAGAGCTATAGATAACTCTGGCAGCTGCTGCCAGGCCCCACTCCATTCACATTTACTCTTTGTATTTTCAAAATGGACCAACACTCCTCACTTGGAATTTCCCAGAAAATCCAAGATGGCAAATACTCTCTTTGCAAACCAAGTAACAAAGCATATCAGCAAACACTAAATCCTAATTCAAAATACTAAACCTGGCTTTGCCAACCACTGGATAAATTGATCCCTTCACCCATCTTTTGCTTTTCCCATACCTGCTCATCATGTGATGCTTTATATTTCTCCAGCCTTTGGACCAGTTCCTCATGCTCTTCATCAAAGTCTGCAATCTTCTTTCGGTAGTATTCCAGCAGTTGCCGGGAAGGGCGGAGAAAGGCCAGACGTTCGTTGATTGAAGGAAGAGGAGTACCATCATTCTGGTGAGGTGATGGGAAACTAGGAGATTTGGGGGAGCCGTGGCAGGCAGCTGACCTGAACACCATGATCGAATATAACAATAACAATTCTATTATAAAGTCATAAAGACTAACAAACCTCAATTCTTGCAGTTAGCAATAACATAAAAACACAGAATGGTTTCACACAGGTCACAAAATCTAGACCTGAATTTAATCTATCCCACCTCCAGTTTCTCAAAAGCTGTGGCAGGCTCCCTTTGGGGAGAATGGAACACCTGGAAAGGATTCTGAAACTTTCTTTCCCACTAGACAAAAACTGAGTGGTATTATTGCTTCTTGGGAGAGGACCCTCAGTGATCCATCTTTGATTTTTGAGAAACTCAATTTCTCCTAAAGAAGGTACCTTTCCTCTACCTTCTGTGAAACCTTTTTGGACAAAGGCATGACTAAGCACACCCAAACATACAAAGGTGTCAAAATTGGCATTGTTCCACATCCAAAATTGGCTCCTGCACTTCACCACACTCATGCATCAGCATATACATGCAGGAAACACTTGAAAGATGCATGGGCATTTCAGGGTATTTGAATTCCCACTTGCTCTTGGGAATTCCTCACCTTGTCCTCTGTACAGATACTTTCCTTTGTGTTGCTCATTTAAGGAAAAGGGGGGAAATTAGCACAAAGACAAAAATTGGTTGTGTGTGGTCTGCACGTGTGTACACAAGAGTGGTGTGGGCAGCCACACCCACATTAGCCTTGGTTATGCCACAGCTTTTGGCCCATGAAGTCCTTAAAGGGCTGGCCAACAAGGAATGTGGCCTTTGGACCGACAAAGGTTGGACAACTCTGTCTTAGGGGTAGGTAGGTACCAAGCTACAATACAATGTTCTGCCTCTAAGTGTGGAATGGCAGATGGTCTTCAAGAAAAGATATTAATAATATTTAATACAAATGAAGAGGAAACAAAGCAGTCAGTTCCTTGACATACCTTTTGGAGGCAGAGGGTGTTCTTGGAGAGGAAGTCATGTTGCTCACTCCCACCACCTGCAGTAGTTAGTGCCAAATATACCTTTTTTACTCTTTGGTAACAGAAGCATAAAGCCAAAGGTTCAGAGAAAGTGTATTAACGGTTCTCTAGTGGCCCATTTTTATTTCCTCACCAACAGATGTATGTGCTCAAAGAAAGTGGTTTGCCAACCAAATTCATGTTAAATCAAGCCATGCTGCAGCCAACCATTTTTCAATCTGATGTGGCAAACTATGCACTTGTAAAAGGCTTCATACATGATAGTGCACATATAAATGATTTATTACATTTATCCTATCACACAGAGCTAGGAATTTCAACCAAAAGGCCCCTACCTTTCTTCAGGGGCTAATGTATGCTACGCAATGGGAAAGGTAGCAGGGATAGTCAAAACAGGAAGGATGTCATGGGAAGGGGTAGAGAGAAATAAAGTAATATGACTGTCAGAAAAGTGGCTTAAATTATGGCAAGTTGTTATGAGCAGATGCTAGCAAGGGACGTACCTAGGGCTGGTGAAACCGTTTTACCACCCCACCCCGCTTTTTATCCCTGAAACAGCTGTGAGGTTGAGTGGTCTCAGAGACAGCGACTGGTCCAGGGTTACTTTTAGCTAAAAAGTGACTTAAACCCAACTCTCCCCAAGCCCAAATTGCTAGGCAACACAACGCGTTGGTTGCCTCCAACCCCACACCCCAAAATAATCTGCGAGGGCTGGCTGTAAACCTGTATATTTGCCTGCTTGGGCATATTTTTGGGGACCCACCTGATTTCTGTGGCTGTAAGATCTTTTACATTGCTTCTGAGTATTGCGTTTTAATGGTTGTAACCCGCTGTAATAGTAATAATAACAGGTGGGGAGCTTTGCCCTCCTAGTCATCTGAATTAGACGCCCCCCAACTCAACTTTTAAAGATGAAAATCAAACAGAAGCCCCTTCCTTTCTGTCCTAGCAAAGCACCGTGAACCCGCCCCAGGGAGCAAGCAGTTTGCATCGTGTCTCTCTCCGCTCCTGCCCCACTTCAGCCATCCATCCCGCGCCTCCCCGCCGCTCACCCCAAACACACTAACCGCTCTAACACTCCCGTTCGCGCCGCAGCTAGTGCTCCTCTCAACCGACGAACCAAAAAGCCAAGCCGAGGGCCCCTCCGCCCCTACAAGTATTCTCCAATCGCAAGAGCTGTAAGAAACGGAGCCGGAGCTTTTCGCCCAATCCCAGCTCTCTTGCCATCCAGCAATACTTTTAAACTCTCGTTTACAAGGGGAAACGAAGCCCAAACGTGGGAAGAACGGAAAGCGGCGGCGCATGCGAGGAGTCGGCGATAGGCTTATAGAGGCATGTTAAAAGTTAATCCAAACCCTTCGCCAAAACGAAAGCAAACAGGGAATTAATATAAATCAAAGCAAATCGTTTTCTGGTATCTTAAATCCCCATTTAAGTGAGTAAAAAATTACTACGTCGTTTATTTACAGAGCAGTCGCCCTGGTAATCAGTTTGCAGCTTCAACTAAGAGCAGGCACCCCCAACCTTCGGCCCTCCAGATGTTTTGGACTACAATTCCCATCATCCCTGACCACTGGTCCTGTTAGCTAGGGATCATGGGAGTTGTAGGCCAAAACATCTGGAGGGCCGCAGGTTGGGGATGCCTGTCTAAGAGCCTTGGGATACTTTCAAAGCACAGCACATTCCTGTTTACTAAGAGCCAAAAAAATTCATTAACGCTTGGGTATTATGCAGTGGGATCTACTTCTGAATAAACTTAACTAGGGTTGGTGCCCTGGAAGACAATGACACTGCAAATTTTAATAAGCTTACTCAGCAGAAAGTGGCACTGAATTTAATGGTATTTATTCCTAGGGAGGTGTGCATAGGATTGCAGCTATCATTGCAATTCTGTGCATATTTACTTGGAAATAAATCCAACTGTGTTCCTTGCTCCAATCCTGTACATGCTTACTTTTGGAGTAGATTCCGTTTAGTATTGATTTACTTCTGAGTAAACACGTACAGGATTGTGGCTGTTACAGAATCATAGAAATGTAGAGTTGGAAGGGACCCTGAGGGTCATCTAGTCCAACCCCCTGCAATGCAGGAATAAATCAGCTAGTCTATAACTGTGAAGTCCTTTAAAATATATATTCAGAAATAAGCCCCACTGTATTTGCTGTAAGCGTGGATGGGATCACACCCCACAACTCTTTGTTGGTTATATTGCTTACTTACTACATTGCTTACCAAACCACTCTGAACAACAACAAAAATAGTAAAATCACTATAAATCAAACAGCCTTCAATAATACTTAAAACAATAATCCTCTAAATTCCCTCATGTGTACTGATGCTTGTCAATTCAGGATCTTTGTGCATCTGGTAAATAGTTCATGAAAGTTTATTGCATTTACAAGTATTTAAGGTGCCACAATACTCTAGTTTTTGCTACAACAGACTAACATGGCTATCCTGTAAATTTAAAAGTGGACAACAGTCCATTTATCAAAACACTGTTCCAACATACATTCTGGTACTTTAAAAAATCCTAATTGGTACCAGTGCAGTGCAGTCAGGCCAGGATTGGCCTATCTTGCCCTGGTGAGCAACAAAGTAAGTACAGTTAACTCTTTATTAGGTGGGGAAAGGATCTGCACAGGAGTATTAGGTCAAATAAGCACAGCAGCTCTTGTTTGGTAGGTGCCCTTATGAAGCAGCTGTGGAGATTGAAGGGTCTCCAGGGTTTCCCCCAAGCAATCTGAGACTGCGCCTGTATGACGCTAATTTCTCCATCATCCTCTTCATGCCTCTCTTGGCTCTGGGAAACCAGGCTGGAGCTAGGGGAGCTTGTTGCAGCAGGACGGGGAGAAACCTGTGCACCTTTACCAGCCTGATTCATCTCTGCCTCTTGGCCTCCCTCATCCCACTCACCTGCTTTAGCGTCTGCTTCTGGACTTCTCTCTGCCATAAATACTGTCTGCTCACTAAGCCCTGCTACCTCTTCAGCTTCTGACACTTTCTCCTCCCTCTGACCACTCATCGTTGTCCCATCACCACTTCCTGGGCTCTGAGCCTTCTTCCCTTGGTGGTTCCCCAGCTGCTTCCTCCCACCATTCCTCTGTATCCAAATAGCCCATGACAACGTTGTCAGGTACCAAACCGGTTGCATTCTGAAAATACAGTGGTACCTGGGGTTAAGTATTTAATTTGTTCTGGAGGTCCATTCTTAACCTGAAACTGTTCTTAACCTGGTACCACTTTAGCTAATGGGGCCTCCCACTGCTGCTGTGTCACCGCCACACAATTTCTGTTATCATCCTGAAGCAAAGTTCTTAACCCGAGGTACTATTTCTGGGTTAGCGGAGTCTGTAAGCTGAAGCGTATGTAACCTGAAGCGTCTGTAACCCGAGGTACCACTGTATTCTTAGGTGAACAATTCATTATTTATTTCAGACATTTGTATACCACTTTTAGTAGTTATGATGAGCTATGCATCTGAGCCATGGGGGACAACCAACAGAGACTCCCCCCAACAATCTTAGTAATTGGGCTGGATATAAAGGTGGTGTTTATATCCTGGGTGCAAGGGGGTAAGGGCTTTGTAAATTAAGACAAGAACCTTGAACTAGTTTAGTTGTATAGTCACAAAGCTGTGTGGCAAGCAGGAAGTCAGCAGGTGTTCAGCAGATAGCATTAGACAAATTCATGATCCATTTCTAAGCAGAAATGGATATTGGTCAGTGCCCAGATAGGAGACTGCCTGGAAGCTTTATAAATATTGCCTTGGGGTCCGTGGAAGAAAGATATGATATACATTTAACAAATAATCAAACCTCCATGTTCAGAAGCAATATATCTCTTTAATACCAGATGCTGCACACAAACAAGGGAAAGGCTGTAATATTCACGTTCTGTTTGTAAGTGCCCAGAATAATCCTGAATAGTGTTGGAAATCAATTACTGATCCAATAAGTCAGTGGCATTAATTTATGGGACGCAGGGCAGAATCTAAGCTTTTCCTAGCACCGAATCTACATGTTGGGGAAACCATCAGCTGCAGGATTTATGGGTGTTAAATGGCTGTTGAAAGGGAATTGCTGAAGAATGGGCATGAATCAAGTTAAGTTTGTATATTTTAAAAAGCAATGAACACATTAGTTTGCTCCGGCCTAAACATGAACCAAATCAAGCTCAGCTTACTAGCTATGTATAACGACGCATGAAGGGCTTGCTTTCCTGGTTTTCTTGCCCTTCTGGGACTGTAAAAAGTAAACGGGGGCTTATCAAGCACCTGCCACCTGGCAAATAGGCAGTGAGGCGGATCGTGGACAAGAGTTTGCCATAGCACATCAAACCAACTTCCTGTAAACACTGGGGTTACATAATGGTATAATTGTGAATTTATTGCAGTACATAATCAAGGCAGAACGCAATCCTAAACATTATTAGCAACTGCCAGCATAGAATCAGGGGGTGGTATTCATTTGTTATTAATTTAGATTAAATGAAAATGAATAAATGTGAGACAGGGCAACCTTTCCATATTATATTACACAACAACCTTTTTATTTTCTCAGGATTTTCCCAATTGGTTTATACTGTGTTTGTTTAGTTGTCCTAATTGTTGCTTTATGAATTGCTGTTATTTCTATTGTGATGCTAGTATGCTTTTTGAAAGTCCCCCAGAAACATATTTGAAGGACGTTTTATAAATCCTTAAAATAAAATAATGAAATTGAATGGAAAATACGCTTCCGAATTCTTGCTCAGGACCTTGACAAAAGCAGAATCACAGCATTCCCCGCCCCCTTCTGCTCCACTTTTGTTGTGGAGCTGCCTGGAAAAAGCAGATTAGTAACCCTTTTGTCCACACAATAGAAGAGACTGAACAATCATACGCATATAGGTGGTTTGTTTTCTCTTCTTTTATTCATGTTTACAACAGTTTGTTGATGTTGGTGATTAATGACAAAACTAGGGGTACATAGTTTATTCCATATGAAATAACCTGAAAGAAGGTTATATACCTATTATTCAACACTTCTAACTTCCAGGTTTCGGAAGGCAGTGAGTGACCAGAAGCAAGGATGTACCACTTGATTGTAAATAGAAGCTCTTAGAGGTAAACAAAAAACAAAACAACCCCACACAAAACCAAACCAAAACATTATCATTGTAACAAAGTCAAAAACAGATATTTTAAAAATCTGATTATAATTAATATATAATTAAGCTAAAAGCTGTGGGATGATGCTGAGGGATGGTATTGTATTATGGAGTCTAAATTTCAAACAACCCAATTTTCCCCTTTGTTTGGGAGGGGTGAGCCCCAATTCTCTACAGATTGTACCTCCATTTTCCCCCTATGGGTTTGTTGTTATTTTTTTAACCAGTCTCTGATATTGTTCCATTAATAGAAGACCTTAAGAGGATAACACAGTTATGTATGTTATGAAAAAGTCATTGGCTGAAGTTCTGCACACCAACATGACATAAAAAGAGTTGCAGCAGTATGGCGGTCAAAACACAGAATCCTGGGAACTGTAGTTTACCACTCAGTGAGCTACAATTCTCAGCACCTTCCCAGCAATCTTTTTTGGAGAGAAAGGCATGAGGTGTAGAGAGCCAGTGGATGTACAGCATCCAGATTAAAATCTCTATACTCAGAATCTCTCTGAGCAAACATGGGTGCTGCAACCTCACGCCCTGCAAAGTAGGCTGCTGTTTCTCCACCTAGCCTATCCTGCCCTCGCAAAGATTGCTGCAAGGATTAAAATGTCTGCAGGCAGGGAAACCTGTTTTAATTTGTATCTACAGTATCCTGCTCTTCTAGTGATTACACATCCCTCAGAGTGGCTTGCAAGAATTTAAAATCGGAGTAATGCTCCTAAAAAACACACGTTAAAAATACATTTAAAAGCAACAATGATTTTAAAAATGACCTTTGCAGGTTTTTTTAAAAAAAGAAAAGCAATTTTTAAAATTGTTGCCTACTGGAATAAAAATATATTTTATCAGCTGGTGCAAGGCAGCGAGAGGCAGGGCTAGGTTTTTAAAAAAATATTTCAAACTGCAACCAGCAGGAGGAAAAGTGGCAGGTAAATAATTTTAAAACACTGAACTCGTGGTTTTTGTTTTCTTCTTTTCTGGTTAGCTGGCAAGTTTATTTACTGGGAAAGTCGTTTTAATTAATCACTATGGCTAAAACAGCCTCAGCCAGCCAGCCAGGCCCCCCCAAGGGATTGTTCTCTGAGGGACTCCGAGGGGGTCAGGGAACTGCGGCGCTTCGGGGGGGGGGCGGTTGCTCTGGCGACCGAGAACGGGCGGCGGCGTCCGTTAGGGCGGGGAAGGAAAGGTAGATGTTGAGAGTGACAGCTGCTGTGGGAACTGTAAGTGGGTGGAGTCCAGGTGGGCCGTTTCGCACGCGGGGTGGGGGAGCGAAACGTCAAGAGAGACGCTGCTGCTGAGGCGGCTTCCGCCAGTGGACGCGGGGTGGGGGTGGGGGAGGTGAGAGAAAAGAGCGCATTAAGGCTCGTAGAGGCGGGCGGGGCTCTGCGAAGATTCCACGGAGGGGGGCGGGGCAGAATCTGTTCGCACACGGAGAGAATGGGGTACATGGACAGTCGGCACCGGAAGTTATCTTGCCGAAGCGGGCCCCATCACACAAAACGCACTGCACATTCCTCCGTGAACCGAAAAAAAAAAGGACCGCGGCCTAACTTGCTCCTACTGTTTAGGCCCGTTGCAGGAGCAAAAGGAGTCGACTCGCGAACTTGGCGCGTATACGAGCCGGTGCTTCGCGCGAAGAGAGGAGCGGCTTAAAGTCCCGAGGTAGAGACGGCCGGGACTAAATTATTTTGAACAATAAACCTACTTCGCGGAGGGATATTCTCACACGGCTCCGCTTCCGCAAGAAAGGGTTTTTAACAGACGCGTCACTTCCGGCGAGCCTCAAGAAGGGGAGGAAAAGGAAAGAAGAAGAAAAACAACAAAACCCCCGAAGGGGGAAACAAAAACAAACGGGAGGCCTCGTCAGCCGCGGGCTCCGCGAGACTCCCGGCGCCTGTTTCTGAGGGCCTCAGGGCTCGCGGGCAGCAGCGCCCCCCCTCCTCGATGGACACCGGGATGACCCTCCGCCCCCCGGCCCCTCTTTGAGCTTCTTTGCCTCCCCTTCGCCTTTCCCCCCTTCGCCCTCCCTCTCTCACGCCTTCCCCGCCTGCCTCCTCCTCCTCTGCCGCCGCCTCAGCTAAGCCCCTTCCCTCCCCGGCCCTGAGGCGGCGGCATCATCACCGTCGACGGCTCCGCCGCCGCCATGTCGGGGGACGACGACGGCCCTGGCGGGTCTCACTACGTGGCAGAGTTCGTGCCTCCGCCCGAATGCCCCGTCTTCGAGCCCAGCTGGGAGGAGTTCAGCGACCCCCTCGGCTTCATCGGCCGCATCCGGCCCTTGGCCGAGAAAACGGGCATCTGCAAGATCAGGCCTCCCAAGGTACCCGGGGAAGGAGGAGGAGGGAGGAGGGATGGGGAAGTGGGGTCCACCCTTCAGGGCCTGGAAAGGGGTCCGTGGTGGGGAGGGCGGGTGGGGTCTTCGGAACAGGATCTCGGCTTTCCCGTGAAGTCGCTCCCCGACCCCTTTCCCCCCATCAGTCGCTCCCCTGGCTTTTCATCTCCTCGCTGGCCCAGCCTCCCGTGCCTGGTCGCATCACCAGCTGCCACGGTCTGTGATGCTTCTTCGCCCGTGAAAGGTGCCCAAGGGATGGCGCTTCCTTAACGATGGGGCAACTTCTCCTTTGGATTCCTTGTTTTTTGTTTGTTATACTTGCCTGTTTTTAATTTTGGCTGTGTAATTCCGTAACGATGTTTAAAAAAAGCAAAGCTGGGTGGGTGCATACAAGGAAAAAAGGAGGAAAACAGGAGGAAGATTAAGGGTCCATTCAGTGTTGTAGCAATATAAGATACAGTAGCTATGATCAATACAATAAGAATACTTACTTTCACTTTGGGGGAGGGTTACCGTGTTTTCGTTTTGCATAGAGCAAGTGACCTAGGCCACAAAGACCAACTTTTATTAGTTTTAGGGTGAAGGGCCCCTAAGCCTTTTGAGGTGTATAAAATTCCCTATCAAAAATTTGTGTGCAGTTCCTGTGTAACTTGATCTAGTAAAATTGCCTTTTTGCTTGTCTGTCTGTCGGCAACTTGGTAGTAGCAGAAAACACTATACCAATTTAACAAAGTCCTCTATCCTACACTCCTTTTTTCTCTAGTAC